CCCTCCCCGGCCGGAGGCCGCCGGCGCCCAGCCGCAGGCCGCGCCCCGCTGTGCGAAGCTGCCGGGCAGGGGCTTGCTCGCGGGCGGGTCCCCGGCTCATCCCCACACCCGCGTGGCAGGACAGCTGGGCCTTGGCGGGAGCCCGGGAATATGCCTTTATACAAGCCAGCTGCGGTGATTACTTTTTAAATTTTATCTCTTTACAGGAGGCACATTCTCGTTTTGGATTTAAGATTCGAATTTCTCGTTAAAATACATAAAAATGAAGAAATCCGATAAGTACACAGTGAAAATAATTCCTTCCACTTGCCCCTCTATCAGCTAGGTTCCCTTTGCTCACATCTCAGAAGATTCCACCGCACACTAAAGTTTGAGGACCGCTATGATCATCACATTCTAACCCGGAATATCTTATGCTCACCCGCAAAGCCCCTTACCTTTTACTGTCACAAGCCTCATCACCTCAAGTCCCTATCAAACATCCTCCCATTCTGAAGTAGAGACGCATAGGAGTACACTCAGCCCATAGTTGCCCAGCTTCCTGCCCAAAGGGAAAAGCTGGGCTCATGAGGCGGCCTGCCACACACCTGCACAAAATATGTCACTAATGCCTCTTGCAATAGTTACTTTTCCTGCTGTAACAAATTACCGCAAATCCAGTCACTTAGAACAACACTTTCATTATTTTACAGTTCTGTAGGTCAGGAGTCCAAATATGGACTAAAAATCCATAAAGGGCTAAAAACCCTAAAGGGCTAAAAATCAAGGGGACATCCGGGGTGCCCTGGTCCTGGAGTCTCTAGGGAACATGTTTCCTTATCTTTTCTATCTTCTAGAGAGAGGCCACCCACATGCCTTGACTTGTGGCTTTCTACCCCCTCTTTTCCCTCCTTACAAGGGCCCCTATGATTGATGACCTGAAAATCCAAGATAATCATCTCAAGATTCTTGACTTCATGACATCAGCAAAATTCCATTGCCATGTAAAGTGACACAGGTCCTGTGGGATTAATTGGGAAGTGGATGTCTTCAGAAGCATCATTCTGTGTGCCACACCCTTGTGGAACATAAACTTTGTGAACTGCAGGGATGGTGCCAGTTTTGTTCACACCAATACCTAAAACCCCTTAATAATCATCTGTTGAATAGATGAGTGTGAGTCAATGAAGGTAAGACTTAAATAACAACGAAGGGTATTATACACAAGGAATCTAGGCAGAGTGTGACTAATGGCCTAAGCAAGGCATGTAAACCGGTATAAACCACATTTGATTCATTTCAGAATAATCTTAGGAATTTCTTTAAAAATAAAATAAATCAAATTCTACCCCTACGTATTAAATTTTAAATCGCACACTCACACACAGATACATATATATGCATATATATGTATGTATATATATACACATATATGTGTGTGTGTGTCTATATATATATATATATATTTTTTTTTTTTTTTCCTCTGAGATAAGGTCTTGCTCTGTTGCCCAGGCTGGAGTACAGTGGCATGATCATAGCTTATTGCAATCTCAAACTCCTGGGCTCATGCCTGGCTAACTTTTTGATTTTTTGTAAAGATGTATTGCTATATTGCCCAGGCTGGTCTCAAACTTCTGGGGTCAAGCAATCCTAGGATTAGAGGTGTAAGCCATAGCACCAGTCCTGGAGTATGTATGTATGTATTATTATTACTATTTTTTAGAGACAGAGTCTCACTTTATTGCCCTTGGTAGAGTGCTGTGGCATCACAGCTCACAGCAACGTCCCACTCCTGGGTTCAGGCGATTGTCTTGCTTCAGCCTCCCAAGTAGCTGGGACCACAGGCACCTGCCACAACGCCCAGCTATTTTTTTGTTGCCGTTTGGACGGGGCTGGGTTTGAAAGCACCACCCTCAGTATGTGGGGCTGGTGCCCCACTTACTGAGCCACAGGCACCGCCCTGTATATATTTATTTATTTAGAGACAATTTCACCTGGTTGCCCCAGGCTAGCTCAAAGCAACCTCAAACTCCTAGATACAAGCAATTCTCCTGCCTCAGCCTCCCTAGTAGCTCAGACTGCAGGCCCCCGCCATAACACCAGGCTAACTTTTCTATTTTTGGTAGAGATGGAGTCTTGCTGTGGCTCAGGCTGGTCTCAAACTCCTGAGCTCAAGGAATCCTCCCGCCCCAGCCTTCTAGAGTGCTAAGATTACAGGTCTGAGGCACCTCACCCTGCCAGGAATATATCCTTTAATGAGAAGTGATCTTGATGTAGGAGATCAGCACTCGGCCCTGCCTTAGAAGCTGAGGTGGGATGTAAGCGCTGGCCCTGCAGAGGAGGGAGCAAGCTCCATGGTCCAGAGTGTGCTGCCATGGCAACTTCAGAGCTGGCAGGATGAGCAACATGCCAGGCCATAGGGACAGCATATATGTGACAGCTCAGAGGGGAAAATAACATGGCAAGTTTGGGCAACTGTAAGTAGTGTGTGGCTGGACTATCAGGTTTGAGGGTGGAGCAGTAGATTTTGAGAAAAGAAAGATTCTGAACTTAAAGCCCTTTCAGACTCTGCTAAAAAGGCTTTCTTCCTCCCCATGGAGCCAGGGATGTGAAGTAGCAGTTCTGAGTTTTAGAAGTATGATGGGAGTAATAACGGAGAGTGAGCTGCCCCCGAAAGCCTAAAAGCAGACGGATGAGCCAGACAAGTACTTCCCCTCCCGGTGCTTTAGTTACCAAGCAGAGACCACCATAACCCCTGCTTCACCGTGTCCTGCTCAGGGGTCGGTGCTTAGAAGAGTGGTAGAATGTTGCGGGTACTCAGTAAATGTCAGGAAGCTCATTAGCAGCCGCAGACAGCTGCCATGCAACAGATGGTTCGGGACCTCAGAGCTGGTCAGACAGAGGCAGAGAGAATAGAAAAGAGTGAACTGGTTCAAGAATTATTTAAACTATTTGAACCTAAAGATCAGGGAGGAATTCATTAGCTGGGTAGACATGAAGGAGTGCAGCAAAAATATTATGAGTGGATACATCAGGAGTATTGGACAACAGTGAGCAAATTTGTCCTGGACGGTGAGATTGTGCAAGGAAATAACGAGAAATAATTATGTAACAGTGGCCTGGGCCCAGATTGTACAAGAAGGTTAAGGCCAGGCTGAGACTTCCTTAATTGTGGAAGCAATAAGAAACTATGGCTCGGCGCCTATGGCTCAACCGGCTAGGGCGCCAGCCACATACACCTAGGGTGACTGGTTCGAATCCCCAGCCCGGACCCGCCAAAACAACAATGAC